TTTTCCTCTACATCTCTGGAACTTTTCGGAGGCCTATAGAAAACTCCGAACAGGGTGACCTCTCCTTTCCTGGTTCTAACCTCAGCCCATACTACCTCAGTAGACGAGTTGTCATCAAATGTCCTTTCTGCCACCGTAATACCGTCCTTGACTAACAATGCCACACCTCCCCCTCTTTTACCACCTTCCCTGATCTTACTGAAACATGTAAACAAAAAGGGAGAGCTTGCCCCCCTGATTCCCACTGACTGCAGTTTTGCTCAGACCCCTTGGTAGGTGGAGCTTTTCCATAACACTCATCGATTGTAATGTAACTGGGGTTTGTGATATCACACCTGGCCAGATGCTGAATTGATGGCGAGTGCTAACAGTTTCACCTCACCTTTGGGTTCAGTGCATTTTTTTTTTCCATATTTGTACTAAGGTTGTAAGTGATCTGGACAGGGTGCTCCTCGCAGAACACAAATTGAGCATCAATGAGCAAGTTACTGCGTCAGTTGTGCTTCGAAGCAAATCCTTCTATCATTTTGTTGATAATAGAGAGTAGGCTGATATATTGGTAAGTGACCAGAGTTGACTTTTCCTACTTTTGAAGACAGGACATGTTTGGGCCACAATATTTAATTTTGCTGGCTGGACACCAACTACACCAGCGCAGCTTGGTTGCAGGCAGGTCTGGTTCTGGAGCCACTCTTCAGCTGTGAGATCATAGGAGTACATTGGCTTTGCTTTATCCATTGTGCTCAGCAAATGCTTGCTATCACGTGGAGTGAAAATACTTGACTGAAATTTGGCTTCTGTGGTGGAAGACATAAAACCTGATGCTTCAGGCTGAAGATTTTTGCAACATTTTAGTCTATTCTTTTACGCATAATCTGTTTCTAGTATTGTGGATGATATGATGTACATGGAAACTCCTCTAGTTAGTGGTTAAATTGTCTAAAATAGAACTGCATGTGTCAGGACCTCAAAGCTTTAATCTGATCAATTTGTTATGAGATGACCAAGCTGCGTCTATAGTATGCTAGTTCTGTTGCTTAGCACATATGTAATCCTGTGTCACAGCTTCACTAGTTTGGAAACTTGTTTTTAGATAGCTTTGGTGTTATACAAGTTAATGGTACTTAAGTGGTGCATGTTTGTTACATTGGCTCCACCTATTCTACTGAAGTCATATACTGCCTGTAGAAGGCAACAAGGTCAACAACAGAAATTGCTGGAGAGATTCAGCAGGTCTGGCAGCACCTGTGGAGCAAGAAACAAAGTTAGTGTTTCGAGTCCATTATGACTGTTCAGAACTGAAAGGAACTTTTATATTGTTGACATTGGAGTGAGTGGAAGATTGTGAAGGTACCCAAGGAAAAAGGGAGGGCTTGCCCCCTGATTCACACTGACTCCAGTTTTGCTCAGACTCCTTGTTGCCAATCTCAGTCAAATACAGCCTTGATGTCAGGAGCAGTCACAGGACATACTTGGGCAATTTTCCACATGGTCAGGCAGATTGTAGCTGAACTAGAACAGTTTGGCCACCCTTAATTGCCCAGAGGACAATTCAGGATGAAGAGTGGGTGTGGAGTCAGACATAGTCCAAACCAAGTGAGGATGATAGATATCCTTCCCTGAAGGGCATTAGTGAACCAGATGAACTTTTACAACAATGGTTACATGATTGCTAATAGGCCAGTTTTATTTTTAGTCTAGATTTTATTGAATTCAAATTTCACAATCTGTCTCAGTAGGATCTTGGCAGGGAGGTGATGGCTTAGTGGTATTATCACTGGACAGTTAATCCAGAGACCCAGATAACATCCTGGGGACCCGGGTTTGAATCTTGCCAATGCAGATGGTGGAACTCGAATTCAATAAAATATCTGGAATTAAGAATCTAATGATGACCATGAATCCATTGTCAATTGTCCCATCTGGTTCACTAATGTCCTTTAGAGAAGGAAATTGCCATCCTTACCTAGTCTGGCCTACATGTGATTCCAGACCCACAGCAATGTGGTTGACTCTTAACTGCCCTCTGGGCAATTAGGGATGGGTAATAAATGCTGCCTAGCCAGCAATACCCTCATTCTGTTAATGACTAAAGGATCTACAGCACATTAAGCTGGGTTTCTGAATTACCAACCTATAGTCTTCAAGGCCTTTAACCTTCCCAGTTTCTAGTACATTCAGCTGTTTCTTGATATCACATGGAGTGAATCACCCTGGATGAAGGCTGACATCTGGTATACTGAGGACCATCTGAGGAGACAAATGTATCCTCTGGCTGAAAATTATTACAAGTACTTTAGCTTTAACTTTTGCACTAATGTATTACACCACCCCAACCCCACCTCCCACCCCCCAACCACCCATTGGTGACAATGGGAATATTTGCGGAGCCTCTTCCTCCAGTTTGTTGTTTAATTGCCCATCACCATTCACGGCTATGCACAACAGCACTGCAGAGCTTGGATCTGATTCATTAGTTTTGGAATTTCTTAGCGTGGCCTATCACTGATGTTTATAATTTTTGGCACACGAGTGTTAAAACTCACAATTGTGTTGTGGCTTCACCAGATTGACACCTCATTTTTAGGTATGTCTGGTGCTGCTCCTGGCATGGCCTCCTGCACTTTTTGTTGAGCCAGAGTTGCATTGCTGGCTTAATGGTATAATGGTATGGTGGAGGGTATGCCAAGCCATGGGCTTGGAGATTGTCCTCAAGTACAATTCTGCTGCTAATAATGGCCTCCTGGATGCCTAATCTTCTGTTGCTAGATCTACCAGATTCTATCCCAGTTAGCATGGTCATAGTGCCACACAATGCACCCAGTATCCTCAATGTTAAGATGGGACTTTGTCAGCACAAAGACTGAGCAGAGGTCACTCCTACCAATACTATCATTGATACATTTATATGTGGCAGGCAGATTGGTGAGGATGAGGTCAAGTATGGGTTCCTGCTTGTTGGTTCCTTCCCTAATTGCAGCAGACCCAGTCTAACAATAATGTCCTTTAAGACTTAACCAGCTCTGTCAGTAGTGGTACTGCCAAGCCATTCCTGATAATGCACATTGAAATCCCCCATCTAGATTACAGTCTCTGTGCTTGCAATTTCATCAGGTGCATAACGGCCTGGTATGGCAACTGCTCTGCCCAGGACCGCAAGAAACTACAGAAGGTGGTATGCACAGCTCAGACCATCACAGAAGCTAACATCTCATCTATTGATTCCATTTACACTTCCCATTGCCAGAGAAAGGCTGCCAACATCATTAAAGACCCCTCCTACTCCGATAACGCTCTCTGCCATCAGGCAGAAAATGCAGAAGCTTGAACACACTCGCTAAAAGGTTCAAGAGCAGCTTCTTTCATGCCATTATTAGATTGCTGAATAGACCTCTCTAACCTCAAATAATGTTGAACTAGTTAAAGTTGATCTTGCTTTGTGCACCTCCTGGCAGCCATAACCTTGTATGCCGCACTCTGTCTAAGCGCCCTATGATCTGTATTTCCTTGTTTACTATGATCTGCCTTTACTGCTCGCAAAACAAAGCTTTTTACTTTATTTAAGTACATGTGACTACAATAAATCAAATCAAACCAAACCAAACCAAACCCAATGCTTCTTTCAAGTGTTGTTCAACAATGTGCAATACAGATTCATCAGCTGAAGGGGTGGTGGTGGTGGTGTGTGGTAACCCACAGGAGGTTTCCTTGCCCCATTTTTGACCCAATGTTACAGGGCTTCATGAGGTCTGGAACTAATTTTGGGAACTCTGACGGCAACTCCCACCTAAATGTATACTATTGTGCCACCACTTCTGCTGCACCTGTCTTGCTGCTGGGGCAGGATATACCCAGGGATGGTGTTTGGGACATTGTCTGGTAATGGAGATTCCATGAGTATGACTAAACTACATTACAAATTTTGACACCAGCTCTCCTGTTAGTAAGGAGGATTTTGCAGGGTCTCCAGAGCTAATATTGTTATTCTTCCCATGCCTAGGTCAATGCCAGGTGATCCATCCAGTTTCATTACTAAACTAAGCAATGGTTTGTAACACTCATCATGAAGATGTGAGGTCATTTCAGAGGGCACATGTAATTCAGGCCAGGCAAGGACTGCAGCTTTCCTTCCTTAAAAAGGGTATGTGTGAACCAGATGGGTTTTTATGACAATCACCAATGGTTTTGTGGTGATAACTCACATACTGTCTTTCTAGTACCTAACACTTGCAAGGCACAGGTCAGGATTGTCAGAGGTCTACAGCACGGAAGGTCGACCCGATTTGCCCGTGCCATCCAGTTTGCCGTTTGTCTGAATGTGATATAATGCTTTCCACTTGCCTAGAAGGGTACTCTGCCAACAACACTGAAGCAGCTCAACACAATCAGGAGAAAGCAGGTTGCTTGATCGATACACTAGTCACTACTCTCCACATTCAATCTTTTCACCATCAATACACAGTGATCGCAATGTATACCATCTACAAGCTACACCTCACAGTAAACACACCAATGCTCCTTAGCAGCTGATACATAGAAACACCGCAGCCGTTCCATTTCCCTCCAAGCCACACACTGTCCTGACTCAGAATTACAACACTGTTCCTTCAAAGTCCCTGGGTCAAAATCCTGGAATTCCCTCCCTAACAGCTGTGTGTTTTTTTTTTAAAACAAGCTAAGGACTGCGGCAGGTTAAGAATATGAGTCACCATCACCTTCTCTAGTAAAATTAGAGACGGGCAATAAATACCAGCCTATCTAATGACACCCACATCCCGTGAACGTAAGAAAAAAAATTCAAAAAGAGAATAAAGTGGAATTAGGCAACCATTTGTCAAAAAGTTCATATCTCCTGTTAATTTAATGCTGTATTGGCAAAATTTACAATGTGAATCACAAGGTATCAATACGTTCTGATAAAAGCCCTTACAGATAGATGTGTGCAAATCTCCCATTAGTGCAGACCTTGGAAATCTTTAGAGAGAAGATCACACCCATACTTGTTGGAGTGAATAAGCTTTAATTATTGTTGCTTTATTAATACAGACTGTATGAATGACAATTGCAACTCAATAACTATAAATCATGTCCATATCACAATCACTGAAACCTTGTTACATTTTCCCTACTTCTGTTTTCTTGCTGGAACCGAAAATGATTAAATGTAACAAAAAGTGTTTTCCTCATGACGTGACTTTTTTTTCCCTATTATGCCTACAGGGATCAATATTGAACCATTTAAAGCATCTTCCTTCTCCAAAAATTATAATCCATCCCCTGAATAATAATTGAAATTGTAACAATTAGAAATTTCATCATTATCAGAGGGTTTTCTCAAGATGTAAGTGTATGGTTCAAATGTATGGTATAAACTGCAATCATTTTTTATGAGCAGTATTTTCTTACATGGGATTAAGAGTTTCATAAACAAATCTGTTTCTTACATATGCATTATTAAAATCCAAATTTTTGCTAAAAATTTGTACCAACGATAGTAACATCTGAAAAAAACATGGACACTATTCTCTAACATTGGTTACACACTTGGGGCTACAATACAGTATAGGTATTTTGGACGGAACAAATAGGAAACAATGACAATTACCTTCGAAACAGTCCTATTCCATGACTTTCAAGTTATGGCAAATCAATATGGCACACATGGAGGCCATCACCCCATCGATCTATCCAGACTCTCCAAAAACCACATCAATTAGTGCCACTCCCCAGTCTATCATTGTAATGCTGAAAATTTATTTCATTCAAACATCTACCCAATTTTCTTGTTTTTTTTTTAGCACCTCTGCTTCCACCATCCTTGTAGGCAGGAGTTCCAAGTCATCACCACTCTCTGTGTAAAGACATTCTTCCTTGTTACCCCTGCCTTGTTTGTCAGAAATCCCACTGACACGTGTGCATGGATTCTCCTTAGCACTTCTGGCAGTTATGGTGGTAGCATAAGAACCGATCCAAGGAAATTCCCAGTTTAATGTGATAACAATATAGATATCTGATATTTCAACAGACAATACCAGATATACCGATAAACCACTTCAATGATATTAAATAAATGTTAAAAATAAAAAGAAGATTTTTAGTTTTTTGAAATATTGAATGAAACCACTTTGACAGTGTAATAAAACAGCTCACAAAAAATTCCTATGAATTACTTCTGATTCTATTAATTCCTAGTTGAGTTTAAGTTAGGCACATTATTGGATGTCTGTCAGGTTGTCCAGCTTATCTCTTTGTCCTTCATAAAACATCTGGATGAAAAAAAGACAAATAACTTTAAAGAATCTACCTTTCACAAAGACAAATAATTCAACTCTAAATGTCAGCGACACACACTTGAACTTTATTTACATTTAAATCCTAAATGCTACTAAATATGAAGAAATTCACATGGTATATCCTCTGTATTATAACGAAATTCAATTGCACGAAAGCATGTGCTGAAGAATAAACTAGGTTCCCTCAATGGTTATGAACACAATTGAGAATAATTGAGTCATTTGAGATATGGTGTAGGTGGGAAGATTTCCAATACATAGGCATTAGAACCAATCCTAGAATAAATGCATGTTTTAAAATTAACAGTTTGCACATCAATAAGACAGGAATCTCACAGCAAGGCTCCCTAGTTTTGCCTGGGGAGGTCTTAAGCTAACATAGAAATGACCTGTTATCAACACACAGGACATACAAAGAAACAAACATGAGGAGACTAGGAGCAGGGTTAGGCCTTACAAGCACTGAGTCTGTTCCACCCACTAATAAGATCATGGCTGATCTGATTGTTGGCATCAACCCCAAATTCCTAACCATCGCGAATAACCTTTGACTCTTTTGTTAGTCATGAATCTCTCTACTTCTGCCTTAGAAAAATATTCAGTGACTGCCTCTACCACTCCTGGGAAGATGGAGACTCCTGATCTTCTAAGAGATAAAAAAAAAATCTTGCTTTCATCTTAAATGGGAGACTCCTTGTTTTTAAAACTGTGTCCCCTAGTTCTGGTTTCCCTTACAAAGCAAAACAACCTTTACACATCCAGAGGCAATATAGAAAAGAGGAATAAAATGTGTATATTGAGTGTGTTGGACAGAACACAGGAGCAAGTAGTATCCTTTTCGATCAAAGTAGACCGAGAAAGATTATGCAGAATATAAAAGGTAGGTTTATAATGGATTTGCATAAATGCACAACGTATGTGAATATGGATGAGAGCTACAGGCACTAATATTCATCTGGGAAGTGACATAGGTGCAATAATTGAAACATGGTTCAAAAAAATACAAAGAGACAAAGTTATATGGAAGTAATAAAAGGAATGTTGGATAGCAGAACTAAATTAGACACACTGCTTTGTTGGAAAGAGGAAATTCTTGAAAGGGCAAGGAGTGAATCCATTTGATTAGAGTTAAGAAAAAAAAAGTTGGTGATCATGGTCATGGGGATATTATACAAATATCAAATGTAGCAAATCAACAAGTAATTCACAGAGATAGTAAGAACTGCCAATGCTGGACTCAGATAACAGTGTGGAGTTGGATGAACACAGCAGGCCAGGCAGCATCAGAGGAGCAGGAAAACTGACATTTCGGGCCTAGATCCTTCTTCAGAAATGGGGGAGGGGAAGGGAGCTTTGAAAAAAAGTAGCGGGGGGGTGGGGGGCTGGTGGTGGTGGTGGGTAGTGGAGTTGGGCTGGGAAAGGTAGATGATCCAGGCAGGTAGGCAGTGGTGGGAATTGGTCAGTGAGGAGGGAGGGGCGGATAGGTGGGAGAGACGACAGACAGGTCAAGGAGGCGGGCATGAAGCTAGTAAAAGTGAGTGCAGGTAGGTGTAGCACATCTCCTCCCTCACCTCCATCCGAGGCCCCAAAAAAACCTTCCACATCAAACAGATGTTCACCTGCACATCCGCTAATGTAGTCTATTGTATCCACTGTTCCCGATGTGGCCTGCTGTACATCGGAGAAACCAAGCGGAGGCTCAGAGACCACTTTGTAGAGCACCTACGCTCAGGTTGCGTCAAACGACAACACAGTAGTTTCTCTCTACCTCCCTTTTTAAATAGTGGTGCTACATTAGCCATCCTCCAATAGGTAGGAAACCTTCCAGAGCCTGTTGAACTTTGGAAGATGACCACCACTATTCCTAGGGCCACTTCCTTAAATACAATGGGATATAGATTATCAGGCCCTGGGGATTTATAGGCCTTTAATCCCATCAATATCCTCAACACCATTCCTCTGCGAAAATTGATGTCTTTCAGTTCCTTCCTGTCTCTCAACCCTGTATTCCCTAGCATTTCTGGCATTGACACTGGTACTTGTATTGAACAGTTATACAACAATAAACCTGCTGTGGATCATGGAAGGTCTTCAGCTTCCCACATGGTGTGGGCCTACCCTCAACATAAGTAATATACTAGCTAAGGAGGATAAGGCCCTCAAGTTAACAGACAGAGGGTATGCCAACTGTGCCATCCCTGCCCCACCTTGTAGCATTTCAGAAATGGCAGGGATGGACAGGTATGTGGCAGAGAAACCACCTGGTCATTTTTTGCACCTCCTCTGCCCTCAAACTTGCTGACAGGGGAGCATATGATCCAGGCCCCGACTTCACATTGTGGCATCATATTTAATGGATCAGTAAAAGTGGATTTCTAATCTATGCTGAGTTAGCTGATGTCAATAATTGCAAACAGCAAGAATGTTTTAATTATTCATTTTTCCCTACAAAATGGAAAATAAATCAAATCATGATGGCTTCATCAACTCATACCAGCTGCAATATTCTTCCAAGTGATAATTAATTTTGGACTGGATTATTTTCTCAAGCTTTTTCCATCTCTGCCATCAAGCTGACTAGCCTATAGTTATTGGATTCATATCATTCCTTTTTTAAAAAAACAATGCAATATTTGCAATCCTCGAGTCTTCCAAACCACTTCATATCAAAAGGAGGATTGGAAGATTGTGGTTAGAATATCATTATTTTCACCTTTCTCCCCTCAACTATCTAAACTGGATACTTTTCCCATTTTGAACACTGCCAAACAGCATAGTCCCTCCTCTTTATCTACATTTACCTGACAATTTCACTACTAATTCCTTCTCAACTGTAAAATTCCCAGAATTGTCGACTTTAGTGATGACAGATGCAAAGTGCTCTTTAAGTACCTCAACCATGTTCTGTCTCCATAAAATCTCTTTATTCTTAAATAAGGATCTACTCAAGATCCTTAAATAGTCCCATTAGTTTCTCCAATTTCTTTTAAACTTACAAACGACCAGAATAGCTTGAAAAGACATCTGTAACATTAGTAATTAGTTTCATCTGTAATAAATTGGAAAAATGTCAATACAGAGAGCCTTAAATCTTACCATAATGTTTCTGATGAAGCTGTGCAATTTTGTCACTAAAGCATCCGCCAAGCTCCGCCATGTTGCACACCTCCAGAATTTTGCTCAAAGTACATGAAATCCTGGGGAAAAGGAAATATCAGAAAAAAATGTTTGCAATGTATTATAAAGATCTCAGTCACTAACATTAAAATTAAATCCCCTAGATGGGGAAGATTTATATGAATTCAGAAGATCTGGACTTGAGTATACACAGCATAATTTCCGAAGGCATCTGAGAATATTGGCTTTAAAAACAAAGGCATAGGACACGTGAGCAAGGAAGCTGAGCTTTATCTTTATGAAATAATTATATTCTTGCTGTATTGTTGTGGTCATTTTTGAGTACCATACGTTTAAAATGTGACAATGCTGTGGAGAATGTAAACAGAATATTAACCAGAATGGAACCTAGAGCACAGAACTTCTGTTTGGAAAGACTACAGAAACTGGAATTGTTCTCCTCAGAGCAGGGAAAAAAAACCTTTAAGGAAAGACTTTCAAATCATAAATGGTTTTGATACTTTCACCCCCTTCCTTACAATGTTTCCACTTGAAGAATAGTTGGTAACCACAGGGCTCAGGTAATTTGTTCTTTTCCCAAAGGCGGCGTGAGGAAAAACAACTTAAAAGGGGCATTATGATGACTCCAGTACACTGCCCGAGTGGATGGGAAATGCACATTCAAACATAACTTTCAAAAGGCAAGCAAAATATTTGAAGGAGAATAGGGTATATAGCTATGGAATAAAAGCAAGGGAGCAGGGCTAACTAGGTAACACTTTCAAAGACCTACCACAGACATGGGCCAAATGGCCTCCATTTTGTGTTGTTTAGTTCTCTAATTCTATGATGCTTTCTACAGCTCCTGCTGAAATTGGCAGATGGTGGGTCAGCAGCTGAATCCACTGATACATATCAACAACCAAGAGAGTGTCAATTCATGCCAGACAAACTGACAATTGTTGCAGAAATAATGCGCAACTTTTGGAGACTTCAGTATGGCAGGCGTAAAGTGCAATTACTTTAGGAACTAAAAGTGAGCTATCTGCCATAGTACTGTAGGCAACTGGACTGGCACCAGGATTCCATGCTGAAAGTTGTATTTGTTGTCTAAATTCATGTCTCCGTGATTACAAAAGTGCTTCCAAAGTTACTATGTACCAGCGCTTGACTAGCCAGCTGCTTTACTCACCAACTACGGTAGAACAAATTCACAGGAGAAAATGATTTTAAATAATTACAAAAGGCCCATTCCAGTTGTAATTTCAGCCTTCTAGTTACTTTTCAGGACTTGTTTTTATCTATTTTTGAGGCAATAACTGTAGTGATTGTAACAAGGTCAGCCAGGTGGACCCCAGAGAATGAGTTCCCTGATTTGTGGCTGTTAACCTGGTCCAATCAGGAAGCCCTGGCTGACAGCTAGAAACAGAAGTGTCAGAGTTTCTGTTCACCGCGAGTTGGCTATGAGAACCCAGACCAGTGTCAAGGAATCTCCACGTGTAAATAAAGGGTGACTTGGTGATGGGATACCAGCCTCTATGGAGTTATTTCAGTGGCAACGAGAGAAAAAAAGATATGCTCCTGAAGAAATTTGCTTGCAACAGTCATCTTGGAATTGGGGTAAGCATTTCTGGCATCATGCCATTATTTGGGAAGTTTGACTCGTTCAAATCTTGCTGTCACAGACTGTGGAAAGAATTTTTTTTCTATGAAAACAACACTGGGGCAGATGAAAAGCAACAAGTAATTCTCCTGACAGCTTGTGGATCAGCAGCTTTTTCAGCTATTAGAACCCTAACCTTTCCTGAGGCACCAGATACTAAAGCTTTTCAAGATTTACAGATTTAATCAAGGAATATTACAACTCCAAGTCTCCTCTAATTCTGAGATGCTATTGGTTTTACTTGGCAGCTCAAGAACCAGTGGCGAGGCTGAGAGATCATTTGGTACGTGGGAGTAATGATGTAACCATGCAAAACTGCCTACTAACTGAAGCCCAACTAGACTTCAAAAAGGCACCACAATTGTCTTGGTCATTAGAAAATGCAGCAAGTAGAGCATATGAACTACAGGGGTATTCCAATGGAAGTGGACACCATTGCCAGTCCACCTGAGGTTGGGTAACAATCCTTGAGTGAAGACAATTGCATAGCCTCACTCAGGACATATCCTGAACAGAGGGACTCTAGATCAGCCCACAACAAAACCCCAAAACAAAGTCAAGTCTCAGCCAAACGGTTAACATTATCTTCAGGATCCTGGCTGGCAAGTCATTGTAGTTGCTGCTGGTATGTGGACTCCAGACACCTAAAGGTGTCCTACTGTACCTAAATTCAGTAAGGGAATTCATAGGCTGGTATCCAGGAGAGTGCATACCTTGGAAAGTCCACCTACATCTGGTTTGGAATAATCAGATTGCTTAGCAACATCCAAAGCAGAACCAATCAAAATGTACATCTGTTTAAATCGTCACCTCATTCTAAGTTGATACCGGCAAGGCTGTATCAGTGACTGAGGAACCAGTCTTTAACAAAATTCACTCCAGACTCCAACCTTTAAGTTTGCCCAAGAACTTGGCTAGACCGAGAACCTATGAACGGGGAAAATTTACAGATTAAGGGTACAACTTTGGATCCGGTCTTCCAGGAAAAGCAGCTGGTTCAGTTATTCACTGATTGTAGTAAAACATCCAGACCCAAGCTTGATGGGGTGAAATTGATTGAGAAAGATTCACCTTGATTGGCTCAACATTTTTCAACTAGAAAATAGCTGCCCGAGTGAAATCTTAAATATCCAAAAGTTTGTCAAGAAGGTCTAGGCACTATGGAAAGAGCCAAGGCCAGTTTGCATATTGACCAGGAAGATGTTCCACAATTCCACAAGGCCCACCCAGTGCCATTTGCCTTACGTGCAAAAGTAGAGGCAGAAATCAGGAGGCTGGAAAACAAAGGAATCATCAAACCAGTGCAGTTTGCAGAATGGGCAGCATCGGTCGCACTGATTGTGAAGTCCAATGGGTTGGTTCGTCTTTGTGGGGATTTTAAATAAATGGTAAACTGCTTCTTGCAGCTAGATAAATACCCAATCCCTTGCATAGAGGATTTATACACAAAACTGGCAGGCGAGCTGCCCTTCATGAAGCTGGACATGAGCCATGCATTCCCAAAATTGGGTTTAGATGAGGATTCCCATAAGTATGCTACAATTAATGCCCATAAAGGATTTGTACCAATATGTGAGACTGCCAATTGGGGTACCATCAGCTTGTGCCATTTTCCAGCAGATGATGGAGAACATTTTACAAAGTATAGCTCATGTCACCATTTATCTGCATGACGTGCTATTAATGGAGAAGATCAATAAAGAGCATTTGGAGAACTTGGACATAGTGCTTAAACATTTCTCCAAGGTGGGCGTATGCCTTAGATTGGAAAACTGTGTTTTTCAGGCACCCTAAATGACTTACTTGGGCCAGAGTTGACAAGACCACGTTACACCCATTGGAACATAAAGTAAGAGCAATCAATAGGTGCCCCAGCTCCCACGTCTGTACCAGAGCTTACGTATTTCCTTAGATTGGTGAATTATTACAGAAAGTTCATACATAACCTGGACTCCATTGTGGCACCCTTACATCTGCTATTGAAAAAGGGTCAGCCTTGGAAATGGTCTCTTAACCAAGCCTTAGCCTTTAGGGAAATGAACAAGCAGCTATCATCTAAGGCATTGGCACATTACGATCCCAAGTGAGATGTACAGCTGACATATGATGCCTCCCTGTATTGGCTCACATATGGCCCAATGAAGAGGAATGCCCAAAAGCGTATACTTCCCAGACTTTAGCTGATGCAGAGCACAAATTCGCCCAGATAGAGAAGGAAGGTTTGGTGTGAGAAAGTTCCATCAGTACCTTTACAGACGTAAATTTGTAATAGTAACCGACAGGAAACCCCTGATAGTGCTACTCAAACAGAACCAGGCCACACCACCCATAGCTTCAGGTTGAATTTAGCGGTGGGCTCTCATTTTAAATGCATATAATTACAAGTTGGAACACCATCTGGGAGGCCAAGTAGCAAATGCGGATGCCTTGAGCCACCTCCCATTGGTGGATACACCACCGGTGGTGCCGCCACTAGAACAGTCCGTTCTGGTTTTAAACTTTCTGGATACCCTTCTGGTCACTGCTGACAATATCAGACTGTGGTCACAAGATCTCATCCTGGCAAAACTGAAACAGCTGGTGGTGATGGGGGAAACAAAAGTACCATCACAACCAGTATTAAAATTTTTCTGGACCCAGTGAGACCAGATCACTGTACAGGACATGATTTTATTGAGGGGAGCAATAGTGATTGTCCTGAGCAAAGGTTGCCACCAAATACTGGCTAAACTCCACCAAGGTCATCCAGGCATATCCAAAATGAAGATGTTGGTGTGAGGTTATGTCTGGTATCTAGGATTGGATGTAGACATAGCCGTGTTGATGGGGCAGTGCCCAGAGTGCCAACAAGCACAAAAATTACCGACAGCAGCTCCCTCACATTCATGGTAATGGCCGGGTAATCCCTGGACCTGGTTACAGTCACCTGTGCCAGCCCTTTCGTGGGCTCAAAATTCTTAATCATTGTGGGCGCCCACTGAAAGTGGTTGGACGTGCATTAAGTTCATTTGTTGTATATGGGGGACAACAATAGAAAAAGCTTTGAGCATCTTTTGCAATACACGGACTCCTGGAAGTTTCAGTCACAGACAACAGGCCATCATTTACCAGTAGAGAATTTGAATGTTTTCTAAAGTGAAGTAGCATTTGGCATTTAAAGACAGCTCCATACCATCCATCATCAATTGGTCTAGTGAAAACAGCAGTCCAAACTTTGAAGGCAGGCTTAAAGAAACAGCCTACAACTTGACTTGATACCAAAAATTGTCCTGATTCCTATTTGATTAACAGATCACCCTTCATGCAACCACAGGGATAGCTCCAGCAAAGTTGCTAATGTGGTGAAGACTCCACACCAGGTTAATTCTGATCTTCTCAGACCTGGAGGGAGGGAAGGGGTGAAACAGAATCAGGAACGCCAATGCCGTTCAGAAGACTCCTCTAAATGAGAGAGACAGTTTACTTCAGGGGATGAAGTTTGGTTCTGAAACCATGGAAATGGCCCTGCATGGGTAAGAGGCATGGTCAACATGAGGTCAGGTCCAGTAACTTGTAAAATTCGGGTAGGTGCGATGGTCCAGAACAAGTATGTGGACCATATAAAAGCTGCAAACTCACAAACAAGGCAGGAGCAAACCTTATTGAAGGAGGGTCACTGGACCCAAAACATTAATGGATTTCTCTTCATAGATGCTGCCAGACTTGTCAAGCTTTTCCAACAATTTCTGTGTTTGTTTCCAATTTACAGCAACCACAGTTCTTACAGTTTTATTCAGAAGGAGCATGTTCTGACCCTCAGAACAACCAGAAAGACTGTCAGAACCTGTATGTTCTGCACCTCCATCTAACATGGCAGATGTCACAGCTTCAACCCCTTTAATCGCAAGAAGAGATGCTCCAAGCGCAACAGGCAGGCTACGGTCCAGTACACGCTGCCCATATCCAAGGCTGAGGTCGGAGGAACTAGACCCAGTGCAAAAATGCCCCAGGAGAGGCCACAAGGAAAAGAACAGGCCTACATCACTGGACTTAGACGGGGAGGGATATAGTGATTGTAACAGGGTCAGCCAGCTCATAGAATGAGTTCCCTGATTGGGGCTGCTAACCTGACAGTGTCAGAGATTCTGTTCACTTGGAGAGCTGGCTCCGAGGAAGCCAGACCAGTGTCAAGTATTATGCAGTGTAAATAAAACATAACTAGGTGACGGAATACTGGCCTCTGTGGAGTTGTTTCAGTAACAAGTAGGATGGCCAAAGAGAAACTGTAGACACAATGTATTTGGATTTCCAAAAGTTATCAGATGAGATGCCACAAATAGGTTTACCACATAAGATGAAAGCCCATTACGTTAAGGGGTTGATATGTTGGCATGAATAGAGGATTGATTAATTAGGAGTAGGTGTTAACTGGGTCATTTTCAGTGTTAGGACCATCATTATTTACGACCAAATTTATAACATGGATGATAGAATCAATGACACAAAGTTAGGTTGGAAAGCAAATGTTGGAAAAACACAAAAGAATCTATTAAAGAATGTTGATATTAAGACAGTGGGCAAAAATGTGGCAAACAGAATATTGGGAGGTTGTCCAATTTGGTGGGAGTATAGAAAAGCAGAATATTATTCAAATATAGGGAGAATATCGAGTGTTACAGAACAAGATCTGTATGTCCTGTTACATGAATCACAAAATGTTAGCATGCAAGTACAAAAAGTAATTAGGAATGTAAAATAAATGTTTGTCTTTACTGCAAGAGGGATGATGGATAAAAGCTGAGAAGTCTAGCTTTATTCTGACTGCACAGAGCATTACTGAAACTACATATGGGATTCTGACTACAATTTCAATTTTCTAATTCAAGGAGGGACACATTGGAGTTGAAGGCAATTCAGAGAAGGTTTACGACATTGATTCCCAGAACGAAGTGGTTGTCTTATGAGAAAAGGTTGAACAGACTGGACCAATACTCTTTAAAGTTCAGAAAAATGAGAGATGATCTTGTTGAAACAAGAAAGATTCAGAGGGGCTTGACAGGGCAATGTTAAGAGGATGTTCACCCTCATGGGAAATCCAGAACTAGTTTCAAAGTAAGAGATCTCCCATTTAATAGTGAGATGAAGAGGATTTTCTTTGCTCAGAGGATCATTAATCTTTTAAACTCATTACTCCAGAGAACACTGGATGCTACGCTATTTAAGCTATTCAACGCTGTGTTTAGAGATTTTTGATCTACAATGAAGTCAAAGGTTATGGACTGCATGTCAGTAAAACTGAATTAAGCTACATTAAAAAGATAGGAGCAGGAGGAAGATAGTTGGCATCTCACACCCACACCACCATTCAGTAAAATCATGGCTGATCTGGTCATGGTCTAGCTTCCTCTTCTCAGTCTGTACTGCATAACTGCTGAATCAACTGTATCAAAAACCTAGCATTGCCTAGAATAAATTTTAAAGACCAGCCTCCACTACGTTCTAGGGAAAAAAATTCTGCATTCTAATGAACCTCGAGACAGAAAATTTCTCCTCATCTCTGTCTTAAAAGGGAGACCTCTTATTCTTAAGCTAAGTCCTGTCATTTTAGTCTGTCCACAATTACCTTCTGTATCCAACCTAATAAGTTCACTCAAGATCTTATGTTTCAGTAAAATCACCTCTCAACTTTTAAATACCAATGGATACAGGTTTAACCGGTGAAGGAATTGATCTATTTCAAGTTCGATAGGTGTTTCTTAAAGGTCAATGAAAGGACATAGTGGAACATTTTATTAAATATGGCATTTCTTGGAAGCAACATGGTTTCAGCTAATTTCTGTTTTTGTTTGCTAGACTCGCCTGACTCAGCTTTATGGTTATTCACAGGCTGTTAGAGATTTTGGTTTTTAACTGAGGGAGAACTATAGAAGAACAGACTGCTTGTCTTATTTCTCCTGCTTCTGAAGGACCTTTGTTGTGAATCCAATTTGAAATCGAATTATTCCCTTGAAAAGTGATGAGGATTTCTCAATGTTGTGCTTCCTGAGTAAGTGTGTCTGCCAAGACCCCAGAAATAATTGCCATGTCTAGTGACCTGTGTACATGTACTAAAGTGCGAGATTGACAGCTCTTCCTCCACTTTCTTTTCTTCAATAACTAAATGTTATTGGCCAAAAGTACTCTCCTTCACAGTGAGTCTATGCTGAGAGTAATCTTTTATTTTCCCCTTTACCTGGTATTTGTGAACATTTGATCATTTAAAGAGGTAATCATTTACATTTTTATATTACAAACTGTGTGTTAACTAAGTCTACATCTTCATGGAGTGAGCTTTGACTTATATTAAATCAATACCTTTGTGTTTATTAAATAAACCTGATTGATTCCTTTTGTTTATTTGTGTTGAATACTGACAAAGCATACAATTGGTCATATCAAGAACTTATTGAAATAATAAAATTTATGTCATGACCCATGGAGTAGTGGGATTAGAGAAACACAGTGCACTGTTCTCATTTCAGTCATGACATCATAAATTTAGTCCTGGTGATATAACTGCATACTAAAACTGTGAACAATATATGTCAGTGACCAAAGGCTGACCCTTCTTTGCCCATTGTAAAACTTATGCCAATAGATAATGTAACATCTTTGGGTTTGGTTCACCAACTAGATTTCATGCCTGCCCAAACTCCTGTGGCCACATGAGCAAAAGACTTAATTTTGGTTATGACCCATCCCAGGAATTTGCAATCCTTAACTTTTGAACATTGGAGCGTTGCATTTAGCATCAGTTTGGGATGTGTTGATTACCATGGTTTTCTTCCCAACAGTGCCAACTATAATGTTACTTCATTACTTACCACCAGCAAACATGCTCCAAGAAGGACAGCTTTAATCTTAACATCTAAATCCATCGGAAACTGAATTCCAAAGTTATCAGTATCTGTGAGGTATTCTCGAATAATACCGGACCACTGTTTTGATATCCTTCCAACAACACTGGTCTCATCCAGACTTACAACCTATTTTCAAAAAAATCAAAACAGAAAATATCTTATTTTGATCCAAATTAAAAGAAAAATGACCTATATTATGGATTTCTTATGGCTGGCTTTCAACTTTACAATTTTGGCTAAATGGAGAGGCTTTTCAACACAATGCTGGTAATCTGACATGTTTCCTTCTCTCAGCTTAGGAGCTACCCTACTCACCTGGTACTCTACCCACATGGCATCCTACTAACCTCACCCACCTGGCACCTCAACCAACTGATACACAATCCACCTTGCCCATCTGGCACACTCCCTCCGTCACCTATGTGGCATCTAAAAGATCACCCAACTGTAAACCTAGCCCCTCTGCCATTTGCCTCTCTAACCCCACACTTATACATTTACCATTTCAAAGGAAATGTGAAGGTATCTAGCTGTGCTGCTGGACATTTAAAATCACAGAATGCATTACATAGATTACTACAAAATGGGACGTAGTTTCTTTGAAGATTTTCTGTACTACTGAATTCATGGATGCCTGAACAAGTTCATAACAGGAGGCCTGTATGCCAGGAGTCTCCAGCACAGAAGATATCAAAAAGTAAGTGAGTAATTTTTAATTTAATCAGGGTCAGAAATAGGATTTCCACCCCAATTAGGTTGATAGTCTAAGTCTTCATTAGATTTTTAATTATCAACTAACATTTGCCTCACTTTTCATTTTTATAGAGTCTTGAGTCTTTCAGTATGGAAACTGACCATGCAGTCCAACTCGTCCATGCTGAACGGATTTCCCAAACTGAACTAGACCCATTTTCCTGCATTTGGCCCATAAACCCCTAACACTTTCCAATTCACGTGCCTGTCCAAATGTCTTTTAAAAGTTGTAACTGTACCTGCACCTACCACTTCCTTTGGCAGTTCATTCCATATATGAACCATTCCTTGTATGAAAAAGTTGCCCCTCAGGTCCCTTTTAAATCTTTCTCCTCTCACCTTACAATTATGCCCTCTAGTTTTGAACTCCCCTACCCTAGGGAAAAAGTATTTGCTATTCACCTTATACATGCCCCTTAATGATTTTATAAACTTTGATGAGGTCACCCCTCAACTTCTTATACTCCAGAAAAAAAAATTCCACCCTATCCAGCCTCTCCTAATCACTCAAACCCTCCAGTCCCGGTAACATTCTTTTAAACCTTTCCTGCACATTTTCCAATTTAATAAAGTCATGCCTATAGAAGGGAGACTGGAATTTCTTGTTACTAGAAGTTCTGAAATACTACAGATGATCCTGTATTAACCATGTTTAAATGGTGATCTGGAGAACACAGACCAATTCTTACTGGCTATATTGAAAAGGTGGGAGGTGGGGGGGAAAAGAGTTGTTTTGAAGAACTAATGAAATCACTGCCATTCAATACGATCATGGGCTGATCGTGGGTTTAAACTCCATTTCGACACCCACTCCCAATATCACTTAATGGTGAGATACACCAAAAATCTGTCAGTGTTTAAACTCAATGATAGTGTATCCTGAACTTCTGGGTAGAGACTTCCCAAGATTCACAAAACTTCGAAAGAAGACACTTTGACATGACGCAGTTTCCGCTGCCAGATATGTAATGGTGGAGCACTTTCTACCTTTCAAACCACATTTGCTAAAAGATTGCCCCATAAAGGGGTAGCTGAAGTCCTTTTGGGACACTTTCAGGCAGGCAACAGCAGCAACTACAACAACATCATAGGTAACAACCTACTTTCTCCATTACTCAAGCGAACCCCAGAAACCATTACTGAATTGTTATGATCATTTAAGCCTGTTTTGTTTCTATCCCAGATACACACAGAGACTCAGAAACTTTAAAGTAGTCATACCTAAAACAGCTGGCAATGTAATTGTAGAACAATGTAATACTAACAAAAATACAGAAAAATAAAATGATACGGTCTTTACAGACATAGCTCAATCACTCAAACAAAGCCTATTTCGTAGAACTGAGGGGGGAATGCAGGCTACAGTCAATTGAATAAACAGACAAAAATGTTGGCAGTAATTAAATAGTAGGAAACATTTAAATAAATCATTGAAAATGCTGAATAAAATCACATTCACCTGAAAAATAAAACTCAGCAAGACAGACCCATCCTTACCCCTCTCAAAGAGTTAAGTACAGTTTTAGATGACACAAAGAAGCTTAAAATGTCACAAAAAAAAGTAACAATTCTGAGAATTGAGTGAGTTTTAGGTAGTAGCAAGGAATCACCAAAAATTACTTCACTTTTATATTCCATTTCTAAAGTAGCCAGATATATAAAGCAGATTCAGAGTTTTTATAGGTATGAGAAAAAGTAGCCAAACTAAACACGTGTACCTTAGAAGCAGAAACAGGAGGAATTATCATGGGGAATGTGGAAACAGCAAAGGCACTGAATGAATATCTTGTCTCTGAATCATACTGAATATGGGAAGTGTGGGGGAAAATGGATTTGATTTGCAAGTTCTGCCATGATGACCATGAAAGGCAGAGCAGGCTCAGCAGCCTATCTGGTCTACTTTTGCTCTTACTTCTTGGGACTAGAAATTTACGAGAACTCAGGTCTATGATTTTTACATCCCTCACTTTGGTCAAATGCTTCGTCATACCTAATAATATCTCCTTAGCTGTTGAATGCTGATTTGTGATTTCACAATTATGAAGCAATTTGAATTACTGGCACAAATTAAAGGCGCTTTATAAATTGTGTTTCCCTATGTTGCATCAGCAATTACACTTCAAAAGCTCTTAATTAACTGTGCAATGCTGTAGTACATACTGAGTTTAAGGAAGAAACTGCAGAAATGTATGATCTCTCCTTCCATTTAACGGATTTGAAGTATCTAAATACATATCCCAGGTATTGCATTTTGGTACAACAAAAAAGGATAGGACTTATACAATTAATGGTAGGGCCTTGAGTAGTGTTGTAGAACAGAGGGACCTAGGGGTGCAAGTACATAATTCTTTTAAGTTTGCATCACATGTAGACAGGGTGATTAAAAAGGCATTTGGCATGCTTGCCTTCATGGCTCAGGCTTTTGAGTATAAGAGTTGGGATGTCATGTTGACGTTGTACAAGATATTGGTGAGCCCTCCTCTGGAATACTATGTCTGGTTCTGGTCACCCAGTTATAGGAAGGATATTATTAAGCTGGAGAGGGTTCAGAAGACATTTATCAGGATGTTGCCGGGCATGGAAGGTTCGAGTTATAAAGAAATGCTAAATAGGCTAGGACTTTTGTCAGTGGATCATAGAAGGTTGAGAGGCAACCTGATAGAAGTTTATAAAATAATGAGAAGTATAGATAAAATTAATAGTAGTTGTCTTTTCCCAAGGAGGGGGGATTTCAAGACTAGTGGGCACATTCTTAAGGTGAGAGGAGAGAGACTTAAAGAAGATATGAGAGGAATTTTTTTTTTTTTTTTTAAAAAACACAGAGGGTGGTTCGCGTGTGGAATGAACATCCTCAGGAAGTGGTGGATGTGGGTACAATTCCAATGTTTAAAAGACATTTGGATAGGTACATGTATAGAAAAGGTTTGGAGGGATGTGGGCCAGGAGAAGGCAAGTGGACCTAGTTTAGTTTGAGATTATGTTCAGCATGGACTGGTTGGACTGAAGGGTCTGTTTCTATGCAGTATGACTCTACGACAAACGTTCACAAGTTACTTATTCAGTTAGGTTTAAGATTTACATCTAGAAATCTCTGATATTTACCTTAAGGTGGTATTAGCTGACATTAGGGGTGTAATAATTTACCCAATCATGTGAACAACAACTTATTTGTGGTAACAAGATAAATGAAAACTTTACAGTTCATTCAATTATAATTTATGATACCTCCCATAGCTGTCGGGAACAAAGTAATAAAGAAGTGGAAGTGTGGGAGAAAGGTGGAGGGTAATGCATGTTTGTGCCCAGAAAATCCATAATGTCATAAAGGTTTCCTACCATAAATTAAGAGGCTGGTCAACTGCTGTGCAGGGAGGCCAGGAATAGAAGGTGTAGTTAGCAATTTCCAAAAATGTACTCGCCAACAATCGAGAAATTTGGGAGCTAGTGGGGCTAGAAATGTTTGGAGGGCAACAAGGAAGGAGGGAGGAAATAAGAGATCATGTAACAGGGTTTGCTTGAGAGACTGGAGTGGGGAGAGCCCACCTGCTCCTCCTAACACTCAAGCAGTGCTGCAAAATCATTTACTGCTGGGTTCCTCTCTTTCACGAAACTTGGTGCACAGTCTTTACATTTAAATGATTCCCAAAATCTGAGGAAATAAGCCCCATCAAAGCACAAGCATTCTGGGCCTACTGTCCAAAAACCATACTTAAACTGGAGATAGGTTTATTTGTGACAAATTTGTGTGGATTGCATATTTTTTAAAACCAAATTAACCCTGCCCAAATCTCTCCTGCCTATTGTGGAGGGTTAAAATTCCACTCGTCTCCACAGCTTCAGTTTTGTCAGCAGAACTACAATAGTGAAACAAAGAAGTAGATGTTAGAATGAAACACTGGCTGCAGTTCATCTGCTTTTGTGGAAGTTGTTATTGAAGGTCACTAAAAGTTAGGAGCTACCCTGTTGTACTTACGTCAAAATTTACATCTCCCAGACAACTGAACGCCAAACAGGGACCTTTAATTTTCAACACTGTTTCATGTCTTTCATTCTGGATGCTGAACTTAGGGATAAACGGATGCCATTCCTGTACAACATAACCAATAGACTTTCCAGGTGGTGCCTGAACTTCCAGCTGCAAAACAAATGAAATACATGTACTAGATTGCTGACACATTCCTGAATATTTAAATAAATTGAATGAATAAACAGGGACTATATTTCAAAATTGTAAAACAAGCTAGAAAACAAAACTGCAAAAATCAACTGTGCTCAGGATCCATCTTTAGCTGTATCTATGTTCACATAAATCAAACACATACTAAAACAAGGTTCCGTACTAATGCATAATCTTTTTCACACCTGATATCTATTGTACTTTGCTCCAATCACAATCTGATTCATAAAATTAATTCTAGTAATTTATTATTGAATTTCTCCCTCTGTTTATTTCTATGCTTCAAATGTGCTATCTTCTTCTTCCGTGCTAATGGTATTGATGTGAGACATCATAATCTTTTACTCTAATTCATTCTTTGCCAGGAACCACAAACTAAAGGAATCCTTAACTTCCCCTTAATGTATTCTGCCTGTAGTAATATACAGCCAATATGTTCTGAATTATTCCATTTCTGTACAGATTTGGTTAACTTTCGTGGTATCCTGTGCCAGAGGTCTTATCCTGTCACTCTGCATTTTCTAAAACAGACTTCAGAATTCAGAAACAGAATTCCATGCATTTTGTAAGAAGTGGGCAATAAGTTAAATATCAATCAAAAATCAGCAAACTGCACAGATTTACTTTAATGTTTTTAATTTATTTCTGTAAGATTCAATATTTGAATTAAATTCTGTGTTGATCTATGCTCTATACATTTACCACAAGGGAGTTACAACTTGCACTAATCTCAAGTTTATTTGCAAACCATTTCTTAATTGGGTATTTCAAGAATGATATGGAAAGAAGGAAAATCTGATCAAGGTTATCAAGGATTCTGCAGGGCAGCAATTTAGCTTTTCAGAAAATCCAGATCTTGAACATTCACCAAGAACAAACTTTGAAACCTCTGGATGAAACATTGTTAAATACAACTTTATGAAAAGAAAATCTGAAATAATTGCAATTATTTCCATGCAATGTGTTAAGGCATTTAATAGGACTGCGGCAAATTCCTGCTACAAAATCTTGTGCTGAACACAAAAGTTGAATACATCCTTCTGAACAAGTATGATAAGTGCACAAAGCTCTTCATCATGTTAATTGCTTCTTTAATATTCTTAAATCATTTGCAGGTAATCTCACAAAAGATTTTGCATAATTGCTTAAAGACACAAGTCAGCAGTTTGCAGGAATACTCCGCACTTGCCTGAAAGACTGCAGCTCATCAACATTAAAAGTTCAGTCACCTCTACAACAAAGCAACCCGCTTGATCAGCACTCCGTCCACCATTTAAACATTCACTTCTTCCACCACTGCTGCACAATGATCACAGAGTGTGCTATATACAAGATGCTTACATTCCTACAGGAACTTAAAGTCTCTTTCAATAGCACCTTCCAAATTCACATTGAGGATCAGAAGAATGAGCAGTATCTTACAGGATTCTGAGAGTGTTTAAATGTGTAGATCCTGAGAGGTTGTTTTCCCTCAAAGGAAACTAGAACTAGGGGACACGTATTTTAAAAATAACCATTCTTCTGTACAAGACAGACAGGAAGAACATCTTCTCTCAAATAGATGTGGGTTTTTGGAATTCTCTTCTGTACAGGGTAGTTGAGGCTGGGTCATTGAAGGGTCACTGAATATATTCAAAGCAAGTTAGGCAAATTTATAAAAACCAAAAGAACTGCTGATGCTGTAAATCAGGAACAAAACAGAAGTTGCTGGAAAAGCTCAGCATTGTGAAGAAAAATGAGGGTTAATGTTTTGGGACAACAAGGTGCAGAGCTGGATGAACACAGCAGGCCAAGCAGCATCATAGGAGCAGAAAGGCTGATGTTTCGGGCCTAGACCCTTGGGTCTGGTGACTCTTCCTCAGAAATGAGTTCTGACGGAAAATTGAATGATGGACCAAGTTTATCATGCCAAATGTCCTACAGCTGCTCCTTTCCTTATGATTTTTATGAACTGACCTTTATCATCTAGAAGACCATAAGCAGAAGAGGATAGGAACACCACCAAATTGAATTGAATTAGGTTTATTGTCACATGTACTCACTTGCATACAGTGATAAAGTTTACAAGTCCCCACTTATGGTGCCATTTTAGGTCCAAAGGTACCTAAGTACAAAATCTACATATGGAAGTTTCCCTCCAAGCCAAACCACATCCTGACTTGGAACTATATCACCACTCCTTCAATGTCACTGAGTTGAAATCCTGGAATTCACTCTGTAACATCACTGACTGTGTATCATGTGGACTGCAGCAGTTCAAAGGAAAGGCTCACCTTCAGTATTTTGCCTTTGTAATAACCTTTTTTTTTCTGGCCCAGTATTCATTGGAGCTCTCTGCTGTGTAACTAATATGCAAGCTCTATTGACTTCAATAAATTGAAAATGTTCTCTTGATTCCAGAGACTTAAATTTTGTTTGAGCTCCTTGATACTACATTCAGCAAATGCTGCTGCGATATTGTGGGTCACCATTTTCACATTACCTCTTGAATTCAGCTGCTTCATGCATGCTTGCACATGTTGCGAAGTTGGGTAGAGTACTTTTGCATTGGAAGGCAGGACGTTAGAATTTGGTGTTTGTAAATTATTGGTGTTTGTAAAATACTATGGGGAAAGCAGTGCGTGGTCCCTTTAAAGGATAATGCACTTTTTCTATGCTTAGACATTCGAAAAGGATGTCTGTGGGTTTGCAGGTGCACACAGTGCCTGAATTTAAACATTTGTATAAAAAGGCCTGCACTGTTAGCAGGCAAAGCAGCATTTTTACCAAGATAATACGTTTTTGAATTTAGACAATTAATTTAAACCTGGCCCTTAGATACCAGAAACCAATTAAATTTAAATTTGATAGGACCAATCCCATTGTAAGAAATTGATATTTCATCAAGGGTGTAAAAGAGGAGGGCATTTGGAGAATCCGGCGAGAGTTAACGGTCATATGCCAAGAGAACAGTTCTCAGCTCTAAAAGAATGAATCACTGGTTCTCACAGAATTCTCTAAGCCTTAGAGTAAGCTCCATCTAAATTAAAAGGTACCTATGGCACAAACAGGTAATTTACCTGCAGAAGAATTCACAGAGAAGGCATTCCTGACAAAAGAATTCATCAGAGAAGACATAGAACATTCCAGAAAAAGTTACCTGGCTGTAATTTCAAGAGACTAAGTACTAATTTTTTTTTTATTTTGGTTTATAAAGTGGAGCTTATTGGAACAGCATACCATTAGAATCTTGTTTTATTCAGGACTAGTTAGTAGTTAGAAGGGATCTATTCAGTTTGTTAATAGTTTAATTAATTTGTTCACTTAAAATTAGATAAATAAATTGATACTTGTTGATTATAAAAAGAGAGTGTCAAGTTTTTTTTTAAAATTTAACCACTCTTTTATAGTAGATTGGGGGCTCTTAACAGATTATAGGGCGAGGCGCGCCTCTTTGAGTGTTTCAGTTTTAGTTATCAGAGGGGGTTGACCTCCGCTTTATTATAGACTAAAGCTGTAATGAGGTCAGGAGTCAAGTGGTCCGGGTGGAATCCAGACTTAGCATCAGTAAGAAGTTTATAACTAAACAAATGCTGCTTAATAGCATTGTCAGTGACACCTTCCAACAATTGGCTCATAATTGAGAGTGGACTGAGGGGACAGCAATTGGCCAGATTGAATTTGTTCTGCTTTTCCTGGATGGGAAATATACGGACAACATTCCAATGTTTTTGGAATAGCTTTTTGGATCAATAGCTTGGAAAATGTTTTATTAATAAATCTTCTGATCATTTGTGTTAGCTTGGCTAGTTTGTCACAGTTCCAGAGAAAATGTCAAACAAGTTAAAACTATTTAGTGTCAGTTTCCCATTCATACAATGTAGAAGGAGCTCATTCTTTACAGTTTGCATAGGTCCACTTAATAGATTGCATCAACAGTTAAGCTGTTTCAGGCAACAATGGTACCGTTTGGGAGAAGTGACAAGGCAAACGTGTTCTACATGATGGCATATTATATCATAATGCTACAGGTATTAATATAAAAAAATGCACACATTGCAGTGTGGCATTAAAAGTTATGTGCATTTTTTGAGATTACGGGGATTGAAACCCAAATTTGGTACAAACTTTCAAAATCTAAGTAAACAGCTATGTTTAACATTTGATCATTTTCATGTAATCAGTGGTGGATCACAAAAACTGCAAATAGCTTTCAAAATGATTGTAAACTTTAAAAGAGGAATGAATGGAAACAGATTCAGATACAAAAACCAGTTCAGTTGTTATTCACTCACCTGGTGTAGGCAACAAGGACAGCAACATGATCCACATCCCAAAGGACGAACAAGGTGCATGATAGTGTGCCCAACGTTATCCAAAATCTTGATGATAAATGCTCGATTAGACCCACAACATATTCGGTTACAGAATTCACTGTCTTCAACTGCATAGTAAACTCTCTGGCCCAAACTATTCTTGAGCTCATACTTATTTTTGGTTTCAAATCCTGTTAAGGCTGAAAAACAAAACAATACCAAACATTAATTCCCAGCATACTGAAAACAAAAGAACTTACTGCTATTCATCTAAATGCGGAAAATAAACCAACATACCAGACCTGAAGTTAGAATCATGAAACATATCTGATACATATCTGTAAATGAACTCATCAACAATTAATGCAGTTAAGGATTGAAAAAGAAACTCCGATCTCTGAAATCTGACACTGTTACAGTTTAGATAAACTTCCCATTTTGGTTTTAGCTTGTCAGCTTTGAATGGTGTTGAATATATACATCTCAAATACTCATGATGGTTCTTCTAATCACCCACTTGTAACATCAGACCAAAGTGGAAAAACATTATCATTGTAGTCAGGGGTTGGAGGAATCCCTGAAGAAATTCTACCCCAGAAAGAACCCAAGCAGAATGTTCAGGCAAAATGGGATTAAATTTGCAGGTGTAGTTGCAATACAACGTGTATATATATCTGTACTAAAATTAATGTTTTTATTTATTCAGCACATCCTACATGACTCAAAAATCTGAACAGAATGAATTCAGGTATTAAAAAGACAAATTTTATTAAATGATGCTTCAAAGCATGGTACGTTTTTAGCTACTACCTGCAGGAATCACAAACATGGCTTGGTGCTAGGTCATGTTGTGGTTGTCAATTATGGAAGAAATGTCCTGGTTGGAGAAGGCAGTCCACAACCAGAGATGTAGGACTAACATCAAAGCAAGAGGTACACCTGCATGTTTTAACTCCCATGGAGAAGATAGAACTGGCCATTGTCAGCACTGAAGACATCGCTACTTAATAAATGGACATAACATGCAAATGCACCTTTTTATTCACTGGCAAGATGTGGATGCCATTGGCTAGGCCAGCATTTAGAACAAACAAAGAACAAAGATCAAAGAAAATTACAGCACAGGAACAGGCCCTTCGGCCCTCCAAGCCTGCGCCGATCCAGATCCTCTATCTAAACCTGTTGCCTATTTTCCAAGGATCTGTATCCCTCTGCTCCCTGCCCATTCATGTATCTGTCTAGATACATCTTAAATGACACTATCATGCCTGCCTCTACCACCTCCACTGGCAACACATTCCAGGCACCCACCACCCTCTGCGTAAAGAACTTTCCATGCATATCTCCCTTAAAAACTTTTCCCCTCTCACCTTGAAATCGTGACCCCTAGTAATCGAGTCCCCCACTCTGGGAAAAAGCTTCTTGCTATCCACCCTGTCTATATCTCTCATGATTTTGTAGACCTCAATCAGGTCCCCCCTGATTTACTTCCCATCCCTAACTGCCCAGAGTTAAGAATCAACCATATTGCTGTGGGTCTGGAGTCACATGTAGGCCAGATGAAAAATGGATGGCAGTTTCCTTTTTTAAAATGAAAAAAGTAATTTTTTGATAATCAATAAGAGTTTCTTAATTACAAGTTTTTATTTAATTCAGTTTCCACCATCTGCCATGAGGAGATTTGAACACATGTCCCCAAAACATTACCTGGGTCTCTGGATTAATAATTGTGCTGGATGACTTAAAATGCATAATGTCCGATAAATCCTTGGGACGTGACCAGGTGTACCTCAGAACTTTGTGGGAAGCTAGGGAAGTGATTTCTGGGCCCTTTGCTGAGATATTTGTATCACTGATAGCCACAGGTAGGTGCCAGAAGACTGAAGGTTGGCTAACGTGGGGCCACTATTTAAGAAAAGTGGTAAGAAAGAGCTAGGAATCTATTGACCAGAGAGCCTGATATGGGTGGTGGGCAAGTTGTTGGAGGGAATCATGAGGGCCAGGATTTAAACGCATTTGGAAAGGCAAGGACTGATTAGGAGTAGTCAACATGGCTTTGAAATCATGTCTCACTAAATCAACTTGAATTTTTTCAGGAAGTGATGAAGAGGATTGATGAAGACAGGGCAGTGGACATAGTCTGTATGGACTTCAGCAAGGCATTTGACAAGGTTACACATGGTAATATGGTTAGCAAAGTTAGATCACATGGAACACAGGGAGAACTAGCCATTTGGATTCATGACTGGTTCGAAGGAGGGAGACAGACAGTGGTGGTGGAGGGTTGCTTTTCATACTGGTGGCCTGTGACCAGCGATGTGCCACAAGGATCAGTGCTGGGTCCACTGCTTTTTGTCATTCATGCAAATGATTTGGATGTGAATATGGAGATATGCTTAGTAAGTTAGCAGATAAAACCAAAGTTCATGGTGTAGTGAACAGCCAAGAAGGTTATCTCAGAGTACAACAGGACATTTATCAAATGGGCCAATGGACCAAGGAGTGGAAGATGGAGTTTAATTTAGACAAATGAGGTGCCGCATTTTGGAAAGGCAAATCAGGGCAGGACTTATACACTTAAATGGTAAGATCCTGGGGAATGTTGCTGGACAAACAGACCTTAGAACATAGGTTCATAGTTCTTTGAAAGTGGAGTTGCAAGTAGACAGAATAGAGAAGGCAGCATTTGGTATGCTTGCCTTTATTGGTCAGTGCATTGAGTATAGGAGTTAGGTCATGTTGCAGCTGTGCAGGACATTGGTTAGGCCACTTTTGGAATACTGCATTCAATTCTGATCTCCCTGCAATGGGAAAGATGTTGTGAAACTTGAAAGAGTTCAGAAATGATTTACAAGGATATTGCCAGGGTTAGAGGATTTGAGCTATCGGGAGAGGCTGAATAAGCTTGGGCTATTTTGCCTGAAGCATCACAGGGCGAGGGGTGATCTCAGAGGTTTATAAAATCATGGGGGGGCATGGATAGGGTGAACTGGTGACCTCTTTTCCCCAAAGTAGGGGAGCCCAAAGCTCAAGTTCTTAGGTTTAAGGTGAAATGGGAAAGATTTAAAAGGGACCTAAGGGGCAACTTTTTCATGCAAAGAGTGGTGCATGTATGGAATGAGCTGCAGAGGAAGTGGTGGATGCTGGTACAATTACAAAATTTAAAAGGTATCTGGATGGGTAAATGAACAGGAAGTGTTTAAAGGGATATGGGCAAAATGCTGGCAAATACAACTAGATTCATTTAGGACATCTGGTCAGCATGGATGAGTAGGACTGAAGGATCTGTTTCCATGCTGTACATCTCCATGACTCTATTTGGCAATAAAACCACTGGACCATCACTACCTCAAAGGGCTCCCTAATGCTGCTGTCTTAAGCTCGACTGACTTAAAATTCCAAGCACTCGTTTTCCCACCGCTACCAAATCAATGCATCACAAAATCTTCCAGAAAGTAAGGAATCTTAGACTATTACTATCAGTGCATCTGTTATCTCTGTAGCTACTTCCTTTGACATCCTAGGATGCAACCAGATTCAGAGATTTATTAGTCTTTAGCACCATTAGTTTTTCCCTAGTACTTTATCTCTGGTGATAGTGATTGTATTAATTTCCTCTCCTTTTCCCCCCTTGATTATTTCATATTTTTAGAATGCTATTAGCGTTTTCTACCATGAAGACTGATGCCTATTCCTGGTTCTTCATTATTATTTCCTAGACTCATTCTCCAAGGGGTCTATGTTCACTTTGGCCTCTTTCTTTTTAAGTATTTAAAGAAGTTCTTGCTGTCCGTTTTGATGTTACTTGCCATTCAGTTTGGCCAGCAGCAGCCAAGGGTATTACTTCCTTTCCCTTAGGGATGGAAGTCCCACACTCCGCATGTTAAGGTTTTCCACAGAATATTATCATGTTGTGGCAACCTCTGTTTTAAGGTCAGTTGGTTGCAAATATCCTTTACTCCCCACCCCACAACACTCTGGGATTCAGGGGTAGGGAGCTCATAAAATTCAATCTAAGTTTTAAGTTACCTGCTATCAAAATTACACTCACCTTCAACAAGTTCAACAACTTGATGGACAAGTATTTGGTCAATCTATGAAAGAAAGATTGCAATTCAGTGTTTGCTACTTCAGTTTATTTCAATGAAAGTCCAACTTTAATATTTGTTTACCTGTGCACAGAGAAATAACTAGTTGCTCACATACAGATACTGTCTCCGTTCATTAAGGTTTCCACTTAATTTTTAATGTCTATTTTCATGAAATGAATCCTGATCATTTTAACATAATGAACTTACATGGTTTCTTGACCTATTGACAGGACTGGCAATACACCCTGCACATATAGCACATCCAGGAATAAAATTTCAATAAAAACCAAAAGAACTGCAGATGCTGTAAATCAGGAACAAAAACAAAAAAGTTGCCAGAAAAGCTCAACAGGTCTGGCAGCATCCGTGAAGAAAAAAAATCAGAGTTAATGTTTCAGGTCTGGTGACCCTACCTCAGTTCTGAGGAAGGGTCACCGGACCCAAAACGTTAACTCTGATTCTTTTTCTTCACAGATGCTGCCAGACCTGCCGAGCTTTCTCAATAAAATTTCAATGCCTGTGACTACGTTATTAAATTCCCTAAATAATGAATGTAAAAGAATAGCTATGTTTTTGTTAGAATCTACTCCAGTAATGCAATCTTTTGCCTCCAGCAAAAGGATATTTGGAACACTTTGCGTGGATTGCTATTTCTGAGGCAGAACAAGATTTTTAAACAAAAAAACCAATGAACTGCAGATGCTAGAAATCAGAAACAAAATCAAGAATTGCTGAGAAACCCAGCAATTAAAGAAACTTGGGTGTGCTTATGCAAGGTGCACACAGCTGGCATGCAGGTACAACAAGCAATTAGGAAGGCATGTGGAATGTTGGTCTTTTATTACTAGGGGCTTGGAGTATAGGAATAAGGAAGAATACTTGTCACAATTGTACAGGATTTGAGTGAGATTAAACTCTGCGCAGGTTTGATTTTCACATTGAAGAAAAGATAGAGACAGTGCAGCAAAGGTACACTAAATTAGCCCTTGGAGTGAAGATAATTTCCCATGATGAGATATTGAGCAAATTGGATCCATTTGGCGTTTAAAAGAATGAAAGCAGCTCTAATTGAAAAGTATAAAATGCTAAAAAGAACTTGATACAGTAGATGCTGACAGATTGTTTCAATTGGCCAGGGAACCTAAAATGTGTAAGACCGTTGCTCAGAAAAAGTGGACGATCTGTCCCTGTTGCTCAGAAGGGAAGGGGGGAGAGGAGGAGAGCATTAGTCATTGGGGACTCCATAGTTAGGGGGGCAGATAGGAGATTCTGTGGGAACGAGAGAGACTCGCGATTGGTGTGTTGCCTCCCAGGTGCCAGGGTCCGTGGTGTCTCGGATCGTGTTTTAGGGATCCTTAAGGGGGAGGGGGAGCAGCCCCAAGTCGTGGTCCACATAGGCACCAACGACATAGGTAGGAAAAGGGATGGGGACGTAAGGCAGAAATTCAAGGAGCTAGGGTGGAAGCTTAGAGCTAGAACAAACAGAGTTGTTATCTCTGGTTTGTTACCCGTGCCACGTGCTAGCGAGGCGAGGAATAGGGAGAGAGAGCAGTTGAACACGTGGCTACAGGGATGGTGCAGGAGGGAGGGATTCAGATACCTGGATAATTGGGGCTCATTCCGGGGTAGGTGGGACCTCTACAAACGGGATGGTCTACACCTGAACCAGAGGGGTACCAATATCCTGGGGGGGAAATTTGCTAATGCTCTTCGGGAGGGTTTAAACTAATTCAACAGGGGGATGGGAACCTGAATTGTAGCTCCAGTGTACAGGAGATTGAGAGTAGTGAGGTCATAAATAAGGTTTCAAGGTCGCAGGAGTGTACCGGCAGGCAGGAAGGTGGTTTGAAGTGTGTCTACTTCAATGCCAGGAGCATCCGGAATAAGGTGGGTGAACTTGCAGCATGGGTTGGTACCTGGGACTTCGATGTTGTGGCCATTTCGGAGACACAGATAGAGCAGGGACAGGAATGGTTGTTGCAGGTTCCGGGGTTTAGATGTTTCAGTAAGATCAGGGAAGGTGGTAAAAGAGGGGGAGGTGTGGCATTGTTAGTCAAGGACAGTATTACGGTGGCAGAAAGGACATTTGATGAGGACTCGTCCACTGAGGTAGTATGGGCTGAGGTTAGAAACAGGAAGGGAGAGGTCACCCTGTTGGGAGTTTTCTATAGGCCTCCAAAAAGTTCCAGAGATGTAGAGGAAAAGATTGCAAAGATGATTCTGGATAGGAGCGAAAGTAACAGGGTAGTTGTTATGGGGGACTTTAACTTTCCAAATATTGACTGGAAACGCTATAGTTCGAGTACTTCAGATGGGTCAGTTTTTGTCCAATGTGTGCAGGAGGGTTTCCTGACACAGTATGTAGATAGGCCAACAAGAGGCGAGGCCACATTGGATTTGGTACTGGGTAATGAACCAGGCCAGGTGTTAGATTCGGAGATAGGTGAGCACTTTGGTGATAGTGACCACAATTCGGTTACGTTTACTTTAGCGATGGAAAGGGATCGGTATGTACCGCAGGGCAAGAGTTATAGCTGGGGGAAAGGCAATTATGAGGCGATGAGGCAAGATTTAGGATGCATAGGATGGAGAAGGAAACTGCAGGGGCTGGGCACAATTGAAATGTGGAGCTTGTTCAAGGAACAGCTACTGCGTGTCCTTGAGAAGTATGTACCTGTCAGGCAGGGAGGAAGTGGTCGAGCGAGGGAACCGTGGTTTACTAAAGAAGTTGAATCTCTTGTCAAGAGGAAGAGGGAGGCTTATGTAGAGATGAGGCGTGAAGGCTCAGTTAGGGCGCTTGAGAGTTACAAGTTAGCCAGGAAGGACCTAAAGAGAGAGCTAAGAAGAGCCAGGAGGGGACATGAGAAGTCTTTAGCAGGTAGGATCAAGGAAAACCCTAAAGCTTTCTATAGGTATGTCAGGAATAAAAGAATGACTAGAGTAAGATTGGGGCCGGTCAAGGACAGTAGTGGGAAGTTGTGCGTGGAGTCCGAAGAGATAGGAGAGGTGCTAAATGAATATTTTTCGTCAGTATTCACACAGGAAAAAGACAAAGACAAAGACAATGTCGTCGAGGAGAATACTGAGATACAGTCTATTAGACTAGACGGGATTGAGGTTCATAAGGAGGAGGTGTTAGCAATTCTGGAAGGTGTGAAAATAGATAAGTCCCCTGGGCCGGATGGGATTTATCCTAGGACTCTCTGGGAAGCTAGAGAGGAGATTGCAGAGCCTTTAGCTTTGATCTTTATGTCGTCATTGTCTTCAGGAATAGTGCCAGAAGACTGGAGACTAGCAAATGTTGTCCCCCTGTTCAAGAAGGGGAGTAGAGACAACCCTGGTAATTATAGACCAGTGAGCCTTACTTCAGTTGTGGGTAAAGTGTTGGAAAGGATTATAAGAGATAGGATTTATAATCATCTAGAAAGGAATAATTTGATTAGGGATAGTCAACACGGTTTTGTGAAGGGTAGGTCGTGCCTCACAAACCTTATTGAGTTCTTCGAGAAGGCGACCAAACAGGTGGATGAGGGTAAAGCGGTTGATGTGGTGTATTTGGATTTCAGTAAAGCGTTTGATAAGGTTCCCCACGGTAGGCTATTGCAGAAAATACGGAGGCATGGGATTGAGGGTGATTTAGCGGTTTGGATCAGAAATTGGCTAGCTGTAAGAAGACAGAGGGTGGTGGTTGATGCAAAATGTTCATCCTGGAGTTCAGTTACTAGTGGTGTACCTCAAGGATCTGTTTTGGGGCCACTGCTGTTTGTCATTTTTATAAATGACCTGGATGAGGGCGTAGAAGGATGGGTTAGTAAATTTGCGGATGACACCAAAGTTGGTGGAGTTGTGGATAGTGCGGAAGGATGTTGCAGGTTACAGAGGGACATAGATAAACTGCAGAGCTGGGCTGAGAGGTGGCAAATGGAGTTTAATGCGGAAAAGTGTGAAGTGATTCACTTTGGAAGGAGTAACAGGAATACAGAGTACTGGGCTAATGGTAAGATTCTTGGTAGTGTGGATGAGCAGAAAGATCTCGGTGTCCATGTGCATAGATCACTGAAAGTTGCCACCCAGGTTGATAGCATTGTTAAGAAGGCGTACAGTATGTTAGGTTTTATTGGTAGAGGGATTGAGTTTCGGAGCCATGAGGTCATGTTGCAGCTGTACAAAACTCTGGTGCGGCCACACTTGGAGTATTGCGTACAGTTCTGGTCACTGCATTATAGGAAGGATGTGGAAGCATTGGAAAGGGTGCAGAGGAGATTTACCAGGGTGTTGCCTGGTATGGAGGGAAGGTCTTATGAGGAAAGGCTGAGGGTCTTGAGGCGGTTTTCGTTAGAGAGAAGAAGGTTAAGAGGTGACTTGATAGAGACATACAAGATGATCAGAGGATTAGATAGGGTGGACAGTGGGAGCCTTTTTCCTCGGATGGTGATGTCTAGCACGAGGGGACATAGCTTCAAATTGAGGGGTGATAGATATAGGACAGATGTCAGAGGTAGGTTCTTTACTCGGAGAGTAGTAAGGGCGTGCCTGCAAAAATAGTATTCTCGCCCACTTTAAGGGCATTTAAATGGTCATTGGATAAACATATGGATGATAATGGAATAGTTTAGGTTAGATGGGCTTCAGATTGGTTTCACAGGTCGGCGCAACATCGAGGGCCGAAGGGCCTGTACTGCACTGTTATGTTCTATGTTCTATGTTCTATGTTCTATGTTCTATGTTCTATGTTCTATCATTTAGGACTGAGTTAAGGAGAAAGTTCTTTCTGCTAAGAGTTGTTAATCTTTGAAATTGTCTGCCCCAGAAGATTAAGGAGCCTTCAGCATTGAATATATTTAAGGCTAGGAAAGGTAAGAAAGTGGAGTTTAAGACCAAAATAAGGCATTATCATGTTGAATAGCGGGGCAGGGCTCAGGAGGTCATGGCCCGATCTCGTGCCCATGGGTAAGCAAACTGACCAACGCTGTTCAAATGCATTTACCATACGATTCTTGCAGTTCAAAGACATAAGAAACTCCATCGAATCAGTTAGGGCTACATCTGAACAAAAAGATTCCAGACAAAAGAAGTGGTCAGTATCTAAACAACTGCAAAGCTTGCATCCTTCCATGAGTTATATTGTGTTCAGGAATTTATGTATAGGGCTTTATCAAAATACAGGTAGGGTATCTTTTATCCGTAAACCTCAGGACCAGTTGTTTTTTGGGTAAAGGATATTTTCAGTTTTTGGATACAAGGCAGTAAATGGATTTGCATAGTTTTAGTGACTCATTCTAACTTGGCAAAAAATGAAGTCACTTTTTCTGTTTGAATTTATGAACTTATTAAACTGCAGTGAATTTTACAAATTGGGAAATGTGAAGAACACAATACTGGTCTGATTCATTGATTAAATACATGGATTTTGAATTTTGAAAGAATTTCTGGGACCTGTCAATATCTGCTGACTGTGTTGGGAAATCTTTGTCACATTGCTTAATGAATTAGAGAGATATTCAGAATGATAATTACCTCCTGTGATAGCTCACCCAACTATTAGCAATCACATTGTGTACACAGGTATAGAAAAATAATTATTTGCAGAGAAGAATCAGACAGAAAACAATCACCAGCAGATATATATTTACCAGGATACACTATACATCCACCTGGATCTGTTAGGGCCTTTTTGGGGAAAAAAGACTGTAACGTGAACAGACCTAAAAGCTAAGTTTTGTTTTTCTACAGGATCCAAACTCAGTGGTGTCTATGGTCTGCTTTCAAAATGACCTTCAGTTTTTTTTTAAAAAAGGTCTTTTCCATTTCTTCAGACATCTGGTCTGTATGTATAAAAAAGTGATGGCTGTCATGTAATAGCCAGGGCTGTGCACGAATTGATACCACAAATATCACTTGCTTACCGTTGTAAGGTACTCTAATCCAGGTGGACAGTTCGGAATAGGAGCTGGGGTTTGCATCCACTGCACTTGCGGCTGAGGTGGTCCGCCTGCTTGATGAGTTAGCATAGGTGCGCTGGATGGAGGATAGACAGCATAGCCTGGCTGAGGTACAAAAGGACCTGCTTTCACACACACAAACACAGGGATGAAACAACAATCAGTGCAACTTCTGATTTTCTGCTGCAGTTTGTATGCTGTTACAGACCAGACCAAACCCTCTTCAAATATAAATCAAGAAGATAGCCTAGCCCCCAGGTTTTTCTTATTTAGGAGGTAAGCTTAAGGTATTGTGTTCTAGATGTAATTCAATTGGTTACACGACTCACCTTTAGGCAAAGTACACTTGATTCTTACCTTACAGTTAAAATGCAAACAAAAGAAACAAGAATTGGTCTAACTTTAACTCTATTCTAAAAACTTAACAGAAAAAATAGATAGAATCCCTACAGTGTGGAAACAGGTCCTTTGGCCCAACATGTCCACACCAACCTTCCGAGCATCCCACCCAGACCCATCCCCCTATAACCCACCCAGTCTACACATCCTTGAACACTACAGATAATTTAACATGGCCAATCCACCTAGCCTGCACATCTTTGGACTGTGGGAGGAAACCAGAGCACCCGGAGGAAACCCGAGCACCCGGAGGAAACCCATGCAGACACAGGGAGAATGTATAAACCCCACACAGACAGTTGCCCGAGACCGGAATCGAACCCGGGTCCCTGGTGCTGTGAGGCAGCTGTGCTAACCACTGAGCCATCGTGCTGCCCTAAGTGAAAGTGCCAAATCCTAACCACTGGACCACCAGAGATGGTCATAGATTAGTTAACTATTAAATAGCAACTGTTCCAATATAGTAACATCCCATAAACACACCCGTGGCAAAGGCAAATTCAGTAAAATGGTTTGCGTCACTTGCAATGTGCCTTCAGTGTAGGATTTGATTTGATTTATTTATTTTTACATCTTGCTACATTTATCTTTTTACAAAGTACAGTGAAAACTGTAGTATAGTGTCGCCACTGTCCAGCACCATCTTAAAACACAGAAAAATAACGCAACCACAGAATACAAAGGCAGAAAAATGAAAAAAATCAAGAAAAAAAAGTGTCCAACTTTAGCGTCCTTCTTGCTAAGTGCTCATCATGAGTTATGGGCCTGATGGCCAGGCACAAGTCTCCTTCGCCAATGCAGGCACCACCAATGCCATTGGGTATCGCAGCAGCTTAAATTTGCCTACGCAGCCTTGAATCTTCGCTGGACGCAGATATTGTCGGGAATGAAAACTTGCCTCTACAGAAGCAGCCACGAGTCAGCACTAGGATCGCCTTGATGATGCAGAAGCCGCCAGGAACCCAAACCCGCCTCCACCGTTGTTACGAGTCCACACTACTGGGCCTACTCACTGCCACTGATGCTGTCACCAAGAGGTGAGTAAAATCAAATAAAGAAAAATGAGAAGAGAGAAAAAAAAAGGAAAAAAAGAAATGAAAAGAAAAATAGACGAGCCCCAGGCTCAGAAGTCCCAATCCACCACCATCTTACCGGACGTACCAGAGGAAAGAACATCAAGAGAAAATTCTGGCAGAGAGAAAACTCAAGCGCTTCGTTGTAGAAGGGAGAGGTGTATCACAGCTTCAAATCCCAACAACTATTGAAAGCTAAACTAAAACCCTATTTCTGTGGGAGCCTGGCTCCACCAATTTGGGCTGCTTCTATTGTTTCTACTTTAAAAATAAACCCAACGTTCTCAAACTGTTTTCTTTCTTGGCTTGGAACAGACAGCATACACCTCTATCTCAACCTCTCCATTAAAAAAAGGAAAAAATACATCTTTTCTGCCATAGTATCATCGCACCTCTCTCTTAAAAACACTGAATCATCAATATTCAAAGATGGCTTCGTTTGTAAAAACCCTTTAGTCTTATGCTATTAATACACTACACTACAATACAATACATATACATTGTATTAAATCTAAGCATTAAACATTCAATACAAATTTCAGCCCAGTTCTTCCACCACTGGGCACCTTCATCTACCTTCAAAGTTGTGACAATGTGTGAGAACGGCAATTATGTTCCCCCATCCTGCCACATGTTTAAATTTTCAAATTAAATGGCTGTAATAATAAACTCCATCTAAACAGTCTGGTTTTTTTATCTTTAAATTCTTTCCATTATGTTAACAGGTTATGATCAATATATACAATTGTCTTGGATGCAACACTGGTAATATAAACGTTAAAATGTTGCAGCATATAAACTCAAAGTCTCCTCAATTATAGAATTTTTCTGTTGAAAAATATTCAACTTTCTGGAAAAATACCCAATAGGTCTTTCTACCTTCTCGTCGTCTTCTTGTAAGAGTACAGCACCAACAGCCACATCACTCGTATCGATAGCCACTTTGAATAATTAGGTGTAGCTAACACAGTTTTCAGGCTGTCAAATGCCTTCTGACAGTCCTCTGTCCACAGAAAATTTCTGCACTTCAACAAGTCAGTCAGTGCAGCAACCACACTACTAAAATGTGGTACAAGTTTTCAATAAAATCTACTCAATCCCAGGAATCATAGTACTTCCCTCTTCATTGACAGTATGGGAAACTCCCCAATAACCTTTGTTTTCAATTCCTGTGGGGTTATCTGTCTATGTCCAATAATATGGCCTAGGAATGTGACTTGAGCTTTTGCGAACTCTTTCTTAGCCAGGTCACTAAGCCCACCTTCTGAACTCAATTCTGGTAGATTCTCCAAATGTTCCTTCCATATGTGACTAAAAATCACCAAATTGTCTCTTTATACCACACAGATGAGTCATTCCAAAATTAGTTTATTAGTTACTCTTTAAAAAATGTGGCTGGCAATGGAATATCTTTTAACTGGCAAAGTTGATTCGGTGTCATGAACGTCGAAATTTCCTTCACTTAGATAAAGGTATCTGCCAGTATCTTTAGAGCAAGTCCAGCTAGAAAATATAAGTTGCTTGTACAACCTCCTCAATACAGTCTTTCCAGCTGTAGAGTAGGATATGAATCAGATTTTGTAACTGCATCGGCTTTGTGGTAATCAATATATAAACATTTGGTTCTGGCACCATCACTGTGGGCGAACTCTGTTCGCTGCAACTCACTTTGATTATATCATCTTTGAGTATGCCTTCAACGTCTTTTTGAACCCGTGCCAATTTTAGAGGGCTACGTCTACGAGTATGTTGTTTAATTGAAACAGCATTTCCTATATCTACATCATGCGTAATCATGTTAGTACTTCCCAGTTTATTCCCACATATCTCACTATGTGAATGTAATAACTCTTTCAGGTCATTTCAATTTTCCTCTGCATGTTTGAGAACTTGAGGAATATCAAATTCATATTTATCTGAGTTGTAACCAGTGCCACATTTTCCTTCTGCTTTCCTTCCCTTTCAAAATACTTTTTGAGCATGTTCACATGACACACATTGAGAATTTTCCTTCTATCTGATATTTTCAGCAAATGATTCATGTCACTCAATTTCCTTTTGATTTGATAAGGCCCAAAAAAACCTTACTTTTAAAGGGTAACCTACCATGGCAGTAATACTAACACTTTATCACCTCTAACGAAACTAAGAATTTTTGATTTCTTGTCTGCTTCCTGTTCCATCATATGCTGTGCTACTTTCAAATGCTGTCTAGCCAACTCACCCACTCCATTTAATCTTTCCACAGTCCAAATATATGTCTCTAAACTCTGACTCACCAATTTCTCTTTAATTAATTTCAGTGGTCCTCTCACCATACGTCCAAAAGCTAATTGAAATGGACTGAATTTAGTTAATTCATTAGGTGCATCCGTAATTGCAAAAAGTAGGAATTCTTTTGTCCCAATCCTCTGGATAGTTATGACTATAAGGCCTCAACATGGTCTTTAAAGTTTGATGCCACCATTCTAATGCTCCTTGTGATTCTTAAATGGGACGTGTTTGATACAAGTTGTTTTATTCCTAAGCTATCCATAACTTCTTTGAATAAATCTGATGTAAAATTTGACCCTTGATCTGATTATATCTCTGTGGGAGCCCGTAACTAGTAAAAAATAAAGTAACTATTCTATATTCCTTTTAGCCATAGTATTCCGCAATGGAATTGACTCCAGAAATCTCATTGACACATCCATTATGGTTCACAAATACTGATTCCCAATTTCTGTTATAGGGAGGGGTCCTATGCAATCAATAAAGACTTTTCTGGAAAAAGTTTCCTCAAATGCTAGAATAGGTATTAACAACACTGGTTTTATCACTGCCTGTGGTTTTCCTATTACCTGGCATGTCCGGCAAAATTCAAACACATCTTTATGCAGTCCAGGCGAATAAAAATATGTCTGTATTTTGGCTCAAATTTTCCTTCCCCCAAATGACCTCCTAACTCATGGAGTATCAGCAACCCCTCCTTTCTATAACTCACCAGTAGTACAATTTGATGAACTTCTGCCCATTTGTCATCTGCCTGACTATGTAATGGTCTCCATTGAGTCATAGAGTAATACAGCATGGAAACAGGCCCTTCAGTCGAAACTGGTCCATGCTGACCACACAGCTGTTTCCAACTGCCCACATTTGGTCCATATCCCTCTAAACCATTCACATCCATGTTCCTATCCAAATGTTTTTCAAATCTTGCTATTGTACCTGTCTCAACCACTTTCTCTGGCAGCTCATTCCATATACGCATCACTCTCTGCATGGAGAAGTTGTCCCTCAGGTCCTTCTTAAATCGTTCCCGTCTCACCTTAACTCTATGCCCTCGAGTTTTCAATTCCCCATCCCTGGGTAAAAGACTATATGCATTTATCCTATCTATTCCCATCATGATCTTACACACCTCAATAAGGTCACCCCTCACTCTCCTACATTCCAAGGAATAAAGTCCTATCTTGGCCAACCTCTCTCCATTATTCGGGCCTACTAGTCCTGGCAACATCATCATAAATCTTCTTTGCACATTTTCCAGTTGAACTATGTCTTTCCTATAACAGGGTGACCAAAACCGTACACAATACTCCATGTGCGGCCTCACCAACAACTTCTGCAACTGTAACGTAATGTCCCAATGCATATACTCAATGCCTTGA